GGCGATGACGGTGGTCAGCGGTTCGGCCCTGTCCATCAGCGCCATTCTTTCGGGCACCATCTTGGAGCTCGGCTGCAACGCCTATACCAAGCAGGAGAGCGACACCAGACACCTGCGGACGGGCACCTACACCACGACGCTGGATCCAAGATATCTGGCGCAGAACGCCACTCCCGGAAATGCTGAGGTCTTCACCATAATTAGGGACGCCAACGCCGCGCCGAGGCAGCTCAGGGGCATCCTGCCCAGGGCGGCTTTGAGCTGGCAGAACATCCTGTCAGGAACGGTCTCCGAGCTCCTGTGCGACGCCTACAGCAAGTCTGAAAGCGACGCCAAGTATGCCTTGCAGACAACAGTCTCGAGCCTTAACCGCTCTGGAGGCCAGCGGCGGCGGCGTGCCTGACCCCCTGACCATTGGGGAGGTTCGAGGAGACGGCGCCTCATTGATACTGCGGGCTGGCAGCAGCACGGTCAACGTGGTGGCCCAGGACAGCACGCCCTTGGCAACTTTCAGCGCCGCCGAGAACTATTTTGGAGGGGCGCCGAGAATGAGGGTGGACACGGAAATCTACATTGATGTGGCAAAAGTCAGGGGTGGACTGCTGCAATTGCATATGACAGGAAATGAGCTGATAACTGATGAAAAATCAGAAGTCCATGGTCTAATCCTTGCCACGCGCACTGGAGTGCCAGATGGCACCATTGAGAGTTTATTTGGAGCACTCGTGGAGCGAAACCATTTCAACCGCAACTGCCTTAATGGGCCAAATACGGCTACATGCTTTACGGATTTTTTCTTTGCGCCAAGTGAGCACTGAGAGGCGAAGTACCTCAGAGCGCAACCCTTTGCCCGAAGCATCCAGAGCAACTTGGCATCATTGAGCATCAGGTTTGAACCAAAGTGGCCTGAGTCTGGGCTGACTGTGAGTGGCTACCTCTTAATTTATGTTGGACAAACACCGTGGCATCTTTGATCTTTTTTCAGAAAAAAACGGCTTGAACCTTAACGAATTTAGGATGGGCATGGTTCTCTCCAAGGGCCAGGTCGGGGCATTTTGCGCTTACAACAGAAATTTGCAGGACAGGGTTGACACCACGGCTTACCGTTACAGTTTCGGTTGTCACCTGGGTTGGGTTCATTTCAGAGGAATTAGATCTGGATAAGCTTCAAATGCAGCAGTCATGTTTCCAACAAAAGGCAAACAAAGTTGGACCAAAAAGAAAACCCATAGCTCAGCAAACGAGCTCTGCAGAGGGATTTATGTTTAAAAATGGTCCCAGGATTTACAACCCAGAGATCGCGGAGAAACATGGACTGCAAACCTGTCGCTGTTGGGTGGATCTTATGATGTTGAGTATTTTGCTGCACAACTACCTGCAATCATGCCTGAAAGACCGCCCACGTTCTACCAAAAAATGTACTTACAGGACCTAAATCGGCACATCTAGCCATCCAGCGCGCAATCTTCGCAAATCACATCACCTGCGCTCACATAACCGCACGTCGGGGCTTGATTCAAGGCAACATTGCGTTGTCACAAGGTTTCGTGCATCTGAAACGATGGTTTTGAAATTCTCAGGCCATAAAAAATTCATAGAAATTCGATTTTCGGTTCCAAATATTCGGAAAAATCTATTTCCCCGTAAATCGCTCATTTGACAC